ACCCTCCACCGCGACTGCGCAAATTCTGCCAGTCGATGCCAGTCCTCCATATGAAATGGAGATTTCCCGGGAAAGTGGTGTTCATCAGAGTTTGTTAGATAAAAAGACTATTTCTACCTAAAACTGCCTATTTCTCGAGTATTTTCAATTAGGGTCATTTCGAACCAATACTAATCTTGCGGAGATTAATCAATGATATTGCGTCATACGGAAAACATTCGCTCCGTCCGTCTGATCCGTGACCTACGACCGATTGAACTTTGCTAACTGTGTACTTGATTGGCACAATCTTTTTCTTGCATTAACCGATGCTAATTTGAGTCACATATAAGCATCAGAGTAAAACTTGTAAAATTGACTTGCTTGCCGTGTGTCAAGTACACGTTCGCTGTGCACTAGCTGTGTTCTTGCTAACGTAGCTGGCAGAAGGCTACTAGTGCTCGTGGCGTCCAATCTGTGCTGTGATCGTACTCGTGAGGCTAGACGATTAGTGTGGCCGTTGAGGTACGAGTGTTCTTTGTGTGTCATCATGTGACATCTTGTTGTGTACATTGTGATCAAGCAAGATTCGGACACAACAGGGTTGCCCTCTCTCTCCATTTCTATTTAACTTTGTTATAGACTTGATTATGGGAACAGCCCTATCCTCCTGCGAGGATAGTGGCATCGATTTACTCCCAAGTGACAGGCTGTCTGATCTAGAGTATACAGACGACATTGTGCTACTAAGTGAAGATCCAGGTAAGCAAGCATTTCTGGATAACATGAATGCCAGTGTAGCCAAATTCGGTATGCGTTTTGCACCTTCAAAGTGTAAAATTGTACTACAAGACTGGGTTGATCCAGCACCCAGCCTCACTCTCACTGGGGAAGTAATAGAGCATGTGGATAAGTTTTGTTATCTGGGCAGCTACATCTCACCCGGTGAATGCATCACGGATGAAGTATCCTCTCGCACACAGAAGGCTCGGTTGACGTTTTCCAACTTGATACATCTGTGGTGCTGTAGCGACATCCGGTTGTCTGTGAAGGGTCGAGTGTATACCGCGGCAGTTCGGCCAGTTCTGCGACAGGGTGCAAAAACTTGGTCATTAAGGAAACAGGATAAAGATAGATTGTCGGTTTTTAAACATCGCTGTCCACGTAGCATTGAGCAACGGTTCAGGCAACTGCGGTTGCCCACTGGAGCAAGTGGTCAACCTCCATAGATTACACTGGTTGGGGCATATGTTAAGCATGTCACTAAATAGGCGATGTTCGCTGAGGCAAGTAGTGAGTGGAATAAAGCCAAGGGTGGTCAAGCTAAGCCATGGCACGAGGGTAAGAAAACCCTAACCAGGAGTCTGTGTCACATAAGTCCTGTTAAACTCCCTGGCTGGGGATCTCGGGATGGTCTTAACCGACGGTTAGAGACACTGAGTGATCTGGCTGAGTGTCGTAAACAGTGGCGTTCGTGCATCTTGTCAATTCCTCTGCATTATTAGTCCACTGAACTTCTCAATTTTCTCTCCGATCCCACTTTGATGCCATGTTTTCCTCCTATTGTTCACCCAAATGGGCAGCCAAAAGACAGCAACCAAAAGCATTTTAAATGGTTGTACAAAGTGAAACTGAAACTGAAACTCCGGCTATCTGCAATCCTACTTGGGTGAGACGGTTTTCGAGAGTTGCGAATATTCTACGCGCCGCACCTCACGAAATCCAATGGAGTGACTATCCACGCGCAAGCTAGACTGTAGGATACAATAATCTAGTGCGCACGCAAGTAAGTAGTTTCCAAAAATACAAAGTTGTCTGTGCGCTCTTTTCATTCCTGCCTGCTGGTTTCGTTTTCTCACACCGGGCAGGGGGGAGAGAGTAATTTTGAACAGTTCCATGGATTAACGTGACCGGCCTCGAATTCGGTCCGGACCGATCCAGTTTGCTCTGAATGATAACCCCTACTATCCAGTAAAATCCGGACCTATCGACGAATTGGTTTGATCGAACCGGAATCTTGGTGTATGGTATTGTGTCTTGTTTTATTTTGGTTTGATCCACTCTCTCCCCCCCCCCGCAGATGGGGAACTCAAAGTGGTTGTCTGTTGCCCGGTAACGCATTATTGTGCAAGAATAATTTTTGAAGTCGTGAATGAGAATAATACATATTATTTAGCTAGATACTTAGTACGAAGCCGTTTTAATTGCGTACTTTTGCTTGTTTCCTACTTAGAAAAACATTCTGGTTCAAATCAGAGGCTCACGGGGAAGAATTGACAGGAAATTACCAAGAAATGTTTCATGCTTTTCCACCGTCAAGTGTGTTTTATGCCTGCACCGCTTGCACTATACTTGAACAAGTACAGGTAGATAGGCAGGCAGGCAGGCAGGCAGGCACTTCTCTCACGCACATTATCACGTGACATCACGTTTTACCGCGCTTTTCTCTTTCATCAATTTTTCTTTCTAACCGGATTACCGATTTGGTGGTGCTTGGTTCTGGATACGAGACAAGTGTTTGAACCGAACTACAAACCGTGATGCAACCGGGCCCAGAAGATTGTTCACACTTTCCTTGATCTGATTCGGTTGTGTAGAGTTCAATCCTTTCAAAGTCTGTGAGTATGTGATGCATTCACCAATCCCAAGGATTGATCGAAATGGACCGGTAGTATTGTTTTTGTTTTGTTTTTTGTATTCGCTTGCGGTTCACATCAAACGGAACTCAAAATATCAGACAAAAATTTCTCTTGATTATCTTTTGCCTCCAGAATATTACCGGAGTCAAAAAGGGTCAAACGTGACTTTGAAACTTTTCTATACCTTTTAAAACTCAATTTTCTTAATTAATTCGACCCGATCCAATAAGTAGATCGTTCTATAGATTGGTGATCAACGGAGTCTGATTAGACAGAAATCCTATTGAGCCAATTGGTCGGTGATCTGTTCTTCCTTACCCGATCAGCTTCGTTCTGTCAATGGAAAGTTAGACCAATCTAAGATCATTTGGTGATGTGATACCCAGTAGTTCCGGATCGCCAGAATAATGAGGGGCTGAATGGAAAAGCGACTGATCAGCTTCATGGGTAAAACGAGAATCAAATCATTGCAGAGATACGACAATCTACACATAAACTCGATCCACCTTGGTCTTCTGGTCTCACACAGTGGCTTACTGAATGTATTGATTTGTTTTGTTTTGTAGCCAGTAAACCGTTTAAATTACACTTCCCGAACAAGGAGACATAGACGAGATCCTCCACGCTAGACCCAAATGGCTCATTAATTATCCCGCCTGAATAATTTGACACTTCGGGGAGCGACGCAGTTGATTTCTAGCTTATCTCACCCTTTAGGCTTCATTTTCAACCACGACACTCAACTCGACCACAACCGTTTGATCCATGATTTAATCTCCAACCCATCTATCGGAAGGTTTACGAGTCCATTGTGTACCGAAACGAGTCACCCACCGGAGCCGACCAGGTTTCACATCGATTCACATTTTCTCTGACACATGTCATCTTCAATCAAGGCCAGCCAGTCAGTTTATCAATCCGACACAGCTCGACTGGATTCACATTCGGCACGACTTTCTGGTTGTTGTATGGAAGCTACACTGTCCACTTGGAACATCTTTTGCCAGTCACCTTGTTTCTGGGGGAGGGGGGGGTGAAGGTTGGCACAGAACTATCAGTTCACGGACGGACGAGGAATTGGCCTGAAACAACACACTATCTCCCTATTGACAGGTTATCTCCTTTTTCGAATAAACTTGTGTGGTAATCAATCAAAAGGGTGAAATCGCAGGGATGAGAATCCGCTGTTTAGCAGCTGTTTGCAGCCGTTATCAAGCCCTGATGATGGTCCCATAACACATCACGTCAGATCGCATGAATGCTTTCCGTTATCTGGTCTTGTGTTCCCCGATACCTGAGTTCAAACCCTTATCTACAGATAAAACATCCAACTTTTGAATAGGTCCACATTTAAATGACAGTTACCTGTGAGTAGTGGTGTGGGATAACTGGTTTTTAATAATTTTAGCTGACTATCCTCCGGGCTTCATCTTCACGCACGCTCCTCAGTTCATCGATTCATCCATACACTCGGAAGCACTAGACTCGAGTTTCGCTTTTATTAGAGCTCATCAGTAGTGCACATCCACCGTCCCGTCCGGGATTTGAACTCCGAACCCATCACACGGAAGGCATGTGCGTTACCGCTGTGCCAACCAGCTCATACTATGGCTGAACAGAATTGCCAATTTATGTTTGTTCAGCTGTCGTCTTCAGTGATGGTCAGTCAGTTCATTTGGCCCGACAGTAACGGAGGGAGACACAAATGACATACTGTTAACTCCAATCGAAAGCCTCCCACCAAGTCAGGACTTCCATGCAGGTTACAGGCTGATTCGCCATCGAACCTAAAAGGCTGGATTGATAATTCGCATTAAATTGAGTAGGTGACTATACTCCCTCCAAGTAGTAGTAGTAGTAGTAGTAGTAGTAGTAGTAGTAGTAGTACGTGCATTTAGATAGAAATATTAGCAGAATTCACCAAAATATCTGTCACTGCCTACTGCACGTACCTACAAAGGAGCTGTGGAGGCGGTGACTGATTATTGGCCTCCGAGGTCAGGACATTATTTATTGTTCACAATCCAACACATACACACACATACCCTGTCAATCTTCCGATGCAAATGCCAATCAGCTATTTTCTACAGAACCTACAAAACCCCGGGAATTTGGCTGTTCCCCATGTAGTTAACGTATACCTTGTTCAAATATGCGGCTCAAAATACGAGTGTTTAGCATTTATAGATATCTCGGTTCTTTACTGAGCAATACACTGACCCATATAGAATGATAGTTCAACTGTGAAGTTTCAGCGACCATCAGCTTCACTCATGTCGGACTATTTCAACTGAATCGCTCGTAATCTATACCATCAATTCAACTTAGCAGACACTCCCCTTGATTGTCTCCTTAGTATTGAGAGACATTCTGCATTCGGTAATGTTGGGGTATATGTTTGAGGCAAAAATTCACGATCGACGTAGTTCTGTCCGTTGCCCATGTGAATTATAAATGCCAAACGAAAATGCCATCCGGATTGGAACTACGAGTTCAACGCATTGAAGAGAATTTAGTCGGATCCGAAAATTCAATGAGGTTGGTGGTGGCTGTTGGGGACGGCGGAGGGG